GACCTCCGTCTTGTCCGGGTTCAGCCTCAACCCATTCGACTGTATCCATTCCAGTACAGTCTCCAGGCAGCCCTGAAGGGACAGAACGGCATCCACTGAGGTAGATGAAAAGGAGATGTAGAGCTGTGTGTCATCAGCATACTGGTGACATGAGGCTCCACACCCCCTGTTGACCCCTCCCAGCGGCCTCATGTAGATGTTAAACAGCATTGGAGAGATGATCGACCCCTGTGGAACCCCACAATTGAGGATCCACGGGGTTGAAACCCTCTCTCCAAGCTGTACTCTCTGGGGCCGGTCCTCCAAGAAGGAACGGAGCCAAGCAAGCGCTAGGTCACCTATTCCTAACTCAGAGAGCCTCCCCAGGAGGATACCGTGGTCAATGGTATCAAAGGCCGCTGAGATGTCAAGGAGGACCAGCAGGGACACTTTGCCCCCATTTGCCTCCCTCAACAGGTCATCCATCAGTGAGACCAGTGCCGTTTCAGTACCATAGCGCGGCCTGAAGCCTGACTGGAATGGGTCCAGAGCATTGGTTTCGTCCAAAAGTGCCTGGAGCTGATCTGCCACCACCCTCTCAACTACCTTGCTAAGGAAAGAAACATTGGCGACGGGCCTATAATTTCCAATGTCGTCCGTCACCAAATTTGGTTTCTTCCTAATGGGCCTAATGAGTGTCTCCTTGAGGGCAAGGAGAACCTTGCCCTCCTGGAGAGACCCATTAATTATTGCAGTGGCCCATTCTGTTGTTACAGGCCTGGCTGCTTTGATTAGCCAGGCCGGGCAGGGGTCGAGAGAAGAGGTGCAGGCCCGACAGCGATCAAGCTTTGGTTTACGCTGACTGAAAGTCTAGTCAAGGATTCTAAGTCTTCACACATGAAAACACACAGTATCTTTTTCATAGAGAGAGTTTTCTTTATATTTTTAGCATAGATCTGAATCTATGCTGGCCACTTGAGCTGAACACCTCATAATGAGGAAAAGTTGTTCTGATTAATCCTCCTATCTAGTGTTTTGTTTTCCATGGGAGGTAGAGTTCTACCAAAATTCTCCCATGTAATATAAGGATTGCTGTAGTTTGATGCCAAACTGAGAGATGTGAGAAAAACAAAACCCCTTACCGTTGGTGAGATTCTTGGTAAGACTGGTCACCTCAACATGAGGGCTTCTAAGATTTTCCTCCATGACCTTAACAAATCTTCCTTTCAGAGGAAGACCACCATATTTTTTGGCAGTTTTGCCCCAATAGTATTTACCAGAATTTGTGCAAAACATACTTTGTGGAAGCCCACATGCTTGTAACAAAAGTGGTGGCTCGTTCCCTTCCCTAAGCAAGCACAAAATAAGAAGCTGATTGATCACAAAGGAATAAACAATACATCCTGTGTTACTAGATTTGCTAGTTCATGCAAAAACAACAACAACAACTAACAGCTATCACATGTTTCCCTTTTGTGCATTTTGTGGCAATATGCAAAGAGCAGACTTGAAAATAAATAAAATCTCTGTGCTACTGACTTTCTAAAATATTTGTTTCAGGGGTTTTTCTATGTGATATATTTTAGAAAGTGAGGATGAACCCAGTCTGAATCTGCATCAATTGCCAAATTGTATAGGAGTGGCACTCTACTTGTGGTATGCACATGCAACAATTCTTGTTAACACAAGGACTTAAAAGAAGTGCCAGTGTGAAGGGAAAAAAACTCATTGATAGGGCCCACCTTGGTACTTCCAGTGTACACATAGGGTCTCTATATGATTATAGATATGGTAAAAGAATGACTTGGGAATACTCATGCACAAGACATAAATCTGCCATATACTCCTAGAACATGTGAAATGATTTAATTTTTTAGACAAGGAGTCAACCTGGGTTTGAATCCTCATTCAGCCATGGAAACACTGGGGGGATGGGGGAGTGAGGGTGGAGCAGGTAAGACTACTCCTTAAATATCTTCTTCCCTTGGAAGTTTTGTTCTGATGGGACAGCACAGCACATACAAAAAGGTATTGCAATATTTTTGCTTTTCTTTTTGTTTTTGCTGTTGCTAAAAGAGACCAAGATGGCTGCCTCTCTGAAAAGTTGTAATTCTGGATTTTATTTCATAAAATGTATGTGTTGAATTTATATCCTGTTTTTTTCATTGGTATGCCTGGGACAATGTATACCAACCAAATTTACATAAAGAAAATACAAGAGCAGTGCAAATCAGTATAAACAAGGAATTTGAGAGTCAGCTGCTTCATTTTGTTTCTGCTAATGATTATGTCATACATAATATGAAGCAGTTGCAGCAATGATGCCAAATGGAGCAGAGCAAAGCCGAAACAAAGCAAAGCAAAGTGTGCTGCTTAGGGACTGCACCACAGTGCTTAAAGCACTCGCTGAACAATTTAATTATACAGGCTACACATTGCCTCCTTCCCTTAGTTGGGTACTCAGAAGGATGGAAGGCTGAAACAACCTTGAGCCAGGCATCTGAACCTGTTGGGATTGAACTCAGGTCATGAGCAGAAGCTGGACTGCAGTACTGCAGTTTAACCACTGCACCATGAGGCTTCTTGTGCCATGAGGCTCCACAACTCATCCTTTTTCCTTCCGCCATCCCACTAGTGGCACTTGGTATCATCTTTCCTAATATGATGCCATATGAAATGTAGGGATATTTTCTTCCCTTAATGACATGCGTCAACCTAACTATGATATTTGATTAGGCTTGTTTATGGAGCCGGCCACAAGCGGTTGGCAGGTTCTCAACAAGAGCACAGCTTTAGCTCTCCATCAATTTCCTCATCAATATTGAATACTTACATTGGTGTTAGTATTAAGCTGTTGTTGACAGCTTTTGTAACTTCTACAAAAGGACCAGTCCCATTAAACAAGATGGGAGATGAATTATTCAGATCTCTGCAAGAGAAAATACTGTTTGAAATGCAATGTTTCAAATCATCGTCATCATAATCATCAATACATCTTCAGAATACAATTCATACAACACAAATATTATGCAGAAATGTGGTGTGTAAATAATCCTAGAATCTTAGATCTGGAAGGGATCTATGGATCACAGAGTCTAGCCCCTGTCAAACTCCCATACTGTGCCTCTGCAGCCACTTACCTAAACCACTGAACTATTCAGCACTTTGGACCATGAATAATAGTGAATAAAACACAGAACAGCGCCTGCATTCGACCCACAGTCTTAACCCAGAAACCTGACTTGTAAGTAACTTAATCCAAGAATGGAGAGTTCACATATTACTCAAGTTGCTATATATGATTCCTCCTTCAGCCAAGGGATTTCGGCCTGTTTTAAAGCAAAGTGGATAATTTTCCATGAAAGCAGAAAGTGCCAACAAACTCCCTTCTAATTCATAAATACAGGGATATTTTAGCTGGGGGACAAAGAAAGCTTATGTCTAACTTTCAGGACCTTGGTTTTGCCTGCTAAGACTTAGGCAAAATCTAATTTAGTCATCCTCCCTGGAAGTTCAAACATGATTTCCTGTTGTGTATTGCAGAAGCAATTCTCAGTAGGCTTCTTGCTTCACATTGAGCTGAAATATTGAAGAAATGAAAATATAGTCCAAATATCAGCAGATTCCAGATCATAAGTTGTAATAAATTGCACAGAAGTCAATGGGCAATTGGTAAATACCTGCAGGCTTAAAATATAGACAGCTAAAGCAAGTATGGACATAACAGTGGTGAATAATCCAAAGCAGGAAGATGAGCTAAATGACCTAAAAGGTCTCTTCTATCTCCAATTGCCTAGACTGTATTACTGACTTTACTCTTGCTACGCTACTGGAGTTCTTGGAAGCAACAGGATCTACACAGAGGACCAAGGGAGGCTGGAGGAGTCTAGTGGAACACAGAGCAATCATTGATACAAGAATGCAATGTAGTCATCTCATTCCCCAACTTTTCAAGCAACAGGGGTGGTAGAGACTGTTGATTAACTGCGTAACACTGTGCTAAAATCAGCCTTACTCTTTTTCTTCTAAAACTACCAGTTTAACAAACTGTTCTTCAAGCTATTGTCATGAGGGATGATGCGGAGCACTCAGACAGCCCTTCTGATTTATTTTTTCATGTCATTGTGGGAAGACCAGACATTTCCAGTTTGATCAGCAGGTAGCCTTTATCGTTAAGAAAAGGGTAGGCAGAAAGCAAATTTCCCATAAATCTCAACCAAAAAAGTGCACACATTGAAAGTATGTCTATTTTAAAAGATGTTGCTTCTCCTCTGTTTGGTTTCTTCCCTCTGGCAAAAAACAGAGCAAAGCTAAAGTAGAACACTTATAAATTTGGAGGGTTGCAGTGAAAGAGGTAGAATGAGTTTCAACTTAAAAGCTTATGGCATCACTAGAAAAAAAAAGATTACAATATCATTAAAGCCACATGACATTCTTTGTTAACATGAGGGGTTGTTGCTTATACCTATATGGATTGCTGTTTCTGCTGCTCATCATCATCATGGGTAGGATGATGGGTAGGTTAAAATTCACGGCTGATGGCAGCACCAGCCTTTATATGTGTGGAGTTGCACAACATGATTCCAGCCATTGTGTCTTCAGGAAAGTGTTCCAGTAGAGAAATGAGAAGACAATGTAATTTCCATCTTATGCCTGAAGAAGTGGATTTGCCCACGAAAACTCACATTTAAGTATAACAGTCTTTGAGGAGCCACAAGGTTTTTGTCTGTTTTTAATTTTATTATTATTTTCTTTCCATTTTGTCTGATATGCTTGCACAGATTAACATGATTAACTCTTCTAAAAATATAATTTAAAGGTAGTCTTCCTCTAAGACTCTTTCAGTTGGCACTGGATAATTACATTAAAATGTTGCTCTGAAGTACAATATATACTTTATATAGCTCTGAAATGAAACATTTTAACCAGTTAAACTTACCATATACACTGACCGTCAGCCTATGACCCAGATATTCTACTTTGTGTATCTGAAAAAATGGATTATTATCCACAAAAGCTGATGATACTGGGGGAAAAAAGAAGGCTAGCCTTAAAGGTGCAACAGTACTTTTGTTTTGTTTCAGTTTTGTGTTTTTTTAACCATCTTACTTACCCGAGTCCTAACCAGTGGCAAATTCTGCTTGAGGATTCCATAGGCCAGTCATCTCCACATGCTGTATGCCATTCATTCTCAACCTTGAACTGGACCAACCCACTGAGGCCAAGAGAACCATTGACCAAGCGCACTGTGAACAAAATATATAATCAGAAGTATGATATTGACAGTGCAGTGTAGACTATTGATTATTTTTTTAGGAATTTATACTGGCTCAACTGATATTCTCTCTCTTTTCTCTTGAGTTTAGAAAGCCACTCTAAGCCAACCACTGCATTCAAAATGATTTTTAAATCACTATGAAAAATATTATTCCTAATTATTTTTAATAATGATTCCAGTTTTTGCTCACTTTAGTGGTTGATGTCTCCTTCATGGATTGCTGCCTTGTCGTGGCGAAGGGGCTTGAGTAACTCAGAGAAACTATGGGCTATGCCGTGCAGGGACACCCAAGACGGACAGGACATAGTGGAGAGTTCCGACTAAACGCAATCCACCTGGAGTAGGAAATGGCAAGCCACTCCAGTATCTTTGCCAAGAACGCCCCATGATCAGAAACAAAAGGCTAAAAGATATGACGCTGGAAGATGGGCCCCTCAGGTCGGAAGGCGTCCAACATGCTACTGAGGAAGAGTGGAGGACAAGTACAAGTAGCTCCAGAGCTAATGAAGTGGTTGGGCCAAAGCCGAAAGGACGCTCAGCTGTGGACGTGCCTGGAAGTGAAAGGAAAATCCAATGCTGCAAAGAAGAATACTGCATAGGAACCTGGAATGTAAGATCTATGAACGTTGGGAAGCTGGAGGTGGTCAAACAGGAGATGGCAAGAATAAACTTTGACATCCTGGGCATCAGTGAACTAAAATGGACAGGAATGGGCGAATTCAGCTCAGATGATTATCATATCTACTATTGTGGGCAAGAATCCCGTAGAAGGAATGGAGTAGCCCTCATAGTCAACAAAAGAGTGGGAAGAGCTGTAATGGGATACAATCTCAAAAATGATAGAATGATGTCAATACGAATCCAAGGCAGACCTTTCAACATCACAATAATCCAAGTTTATGCACCAACCAGCATTGCTGAGGAGACTGAAATTGAACAATTCTATGAAGATTTACAACACCTTCTAGAACTGACACCAAAGAAAGATGTTCTTCTCATTCTAGGGGACTGGAATGCTAAAGTAGGGAGCCAAGAGATAAAAGGAACAACAGGGAAGTTTGGCCTTGGAGTTCAGAACGAAGCAGGACAAAGGCTAATAGAGTTTTGTCAAGAGAATAAGCTGGTCATCACAAACACTCTTTTCCAACAACACAAGAGGCGACTCTATACATGGAAATCACCAGATGGGCAATATCGAAATCAGATTGATTATATTCTCTGCAGCCAAAGATGGAGAAGCTCTATACAGTCAGCAAAAACAAGACCTGGAGCTGACTGCGGTTCTGATCATCAGCTTCTCATAGCAAAATTCAAGCTTAGACTGAAGAGATTAGGAAAAACCACTGGGCCACTCAGGTATAATCTAAACCAAATCCCTTATGAATACACAGTGGAAGTAAAGAACAGATTTAAGGAACTAGATTTGGTGGACAGAGTGCCTGAAGAACTTTGGATAGAGGCTCGTAACATTGTCCAGGAGGCAGCAACGAAAACCATCCCAAAGAAAAGGAAATGCAAGAAAGTAAAGTGGCTGTCCAACGAGGCCTTAGAAATAGCAGAGAGGAGAAGGGAAGCAAAATGCAAGGGAGATAGGGAAAGTTACAGAAACTTGAATTCAGACTTCCAAAGAATAGCAAGGAGAGACAAGAGGGCCTTCTTAAATGAACAATGCAAAGAAATAGAGGAAGATAACAGAAAAGGAAAGACCAGAGATCTGTTCAGGAAAATTGGACATATTAGAGGAACATTTTGCGCAAAGATGAACATGATAAAAGACAAAAATGGGAGGGACCTAACAGAAGCAGAAGACGTCAAGACGAGGTGGCAAGAATACACAGAGGAATTATATCGGAAAGATTTGGATATCCCGGACAATGCAGACAATGTAGTTGCTGACCTTGAGCCAGACATCCTGGAGAGTGAAGTCAAGTGGGCCTTAGAAAGCCTGGCTAACAACAAGGCCAGTGGAGGTGATGGCATTCCAGTTGAACTATTTAAAATCTTGAAAGATGATGCTGTTAAGGTGCTACATTCAATATGCCAGCAAGTTTGGAAAACTCAACAGTGGCCAGAGGATTGGAAAAGATCAGTCTACATCCCAATCCCAAAGAAAGGCAGTGCCAAAGAATGCTCCAACTACCGTACAATTGCACTCATTTCGCACGCTAGCAAGGTTATGCTCAAAATCCTGCAAGGTAGGCTTCAGCAGTATGTGGACCGAGAACTCCCAGAAGTACAAGCTGGATTCCGAAGAGGCAGAGGAACTCGAGACCAAATTGCTAACTTGCGCTGGATTATGGAGAAAGCCAGAGAGTTCCAGAAAAATATCTACTTCTGCTTCATTGACTATGCGAAAGCCTTTGACTGTGTGGACCACAGCAGACTATGGCAAGTTCTTAAAGAAATGGGAGTGCCTGACCACTTTATCTGTCTCCTGAGAAACCTATATGTGGGACAGGAAGCAACAGTTAGAACTGGTCATGGAACAACTGATTGGTTCAAAATTGGGAAAGGAGTACGGCAAGGCTGTATATTGTCCCCCAGCTTATTTAACTTATATGCAGAATACATCATGCGGAAGGCTGGACTGGAAGAAACCCAAGCCGGAATTAAGATTGCCGGAAGAAATATCAACAACCTCCGATATGCAGATGATACCACTCTGATGGCAGAAAGTGAGGAGGAATTGAAGAACCTTGTAATGAGAGTGAAAGAGGAGAGTGCAAAAAATGGTCTGAAACTCAACATCAAAAAAACTAAGATCATGGCCACTGGTCCCATCACCTCCTGGGAAATAGAAGGGGAAGATATGGAGGCAGTGTCAAATTTTATCTTCCTGGGCTCCATGATCACTGCAGATGGAGACAGCAGCCCTGAAATTAAAAGGCGCCTTCTTCTTGGGAGGAAAGCGATGACAAATCTTGACAGCATCTTGAAAAGCAGAGACATCACCTTGCCGACAAAAGTCCGAATAGTCAAAGCTATGGTTTTTCCTGTTGTGATGTATGGAAGTGAGAGCTGGACCATAAAGAAAGCAGACCGCCGGAGAATTGATGCCTTTGAATTGTGGTGCTGGAGGAGGCTCTTGAGAATCACCTGGCCTGCAAGGAGAACAAACCTATCAGTTCTAAAGGAAATCAACCCTGAATGCTCACTTGAAGGACAGATCCTGAAGCTGAGGCTCCAGTACTTTGGCCATCTCATGAGAAGAAAAGAGTCCTTGGAAAAAACCTTGATGTTAGGAAGGTGTGATGGCAAGAGGAGAAGGGGACGACCAAGGATGAGATGGCTGGACAGTGTCTGCGAAGCAACCAACATGAACCTGACACAACTCCGGGAGGCAGTAGAAGACAGGAGGGCCTGGCGTGCTCTGGTTCATGGGGTCACGAAGAGTCGGACACGACTAAACGACTAAACACACACACAGTGGTTGATGTGGCTTCCAGTACGCCCTGGGTATGGAAAATTGACCCCTGGACCTGAAGCTGCCCACCTCTAATGTAAAAACATCCAGGTATGTATACTATCTTTTGATCAATATGTAAATATGAACTACGTCTGGCATAGTTGTACATTTCTGACACTAGTACACAGCAGAGCAAAGGGGCCAGAGGTATTTAAGTGGATGAAGTAGCATACCCATGGATCCCTCATATTAAATCTGACATTCATACATCAAAGTTAGAAGGGGGGGGGGAGAGAAAACTCAGAAAGATGAAGGGGGCATGCTTTTTATCTCAGAAATAAATATTCCTTGTCTTTCCCACTGCAAAATGATAGGTGAAATGATCAAGATCTTGGGCATGCAGTTCCATTAATTTCAGATTCAGGGAACAGCAAGTGTGGAAGCTGAGAGATGTACCAAATAGTAGAGAAATGCAAGGTCCCTATATTGACACTTTAAGAATGAATGAAAGGTGACTTTGCCCATTTCCCTTTTAAAGTGTCACCCTTATTCCCTTCCTGGTGACTGCCTTAGGAAGCAGATGAGGCGTCTCTCTCTTGCTGGTTGGAAAAAATAGAAAATAAAACAGATTGCCCAGTTTTGCATACTGCTGCTGCAGCCAGTCTCTGCTGTCTGCACTATTCAGTCTATAGCATGGCCTTACCATCTGTGTTTCTTGATTTGCAGTTTAGAATGAACTGGAAATGCACAAATACTATCAAAAAACCTAGACGAAGGTTAAGATAGATGTTTCACCAAAACACTGTAACACTGTTTGGCCCAAACTGCCTTCCCTTCAGTCTGTTACAAATAAGGTTAGGAGGCTTCTCTGCCTATCTCTACCTCCAACCACAAGGTTCCTGAAACAAAATGCATTTATGTAGAGTTTGACCAATAAGAAAGGTGCCTCACTTTGTCAGATCAAGTATTAGCACACAAAACACTTGCCTTGATTCACTTTTTCAACCTCCAGTGAAAATGACTGCAAAATATGCTCAGTTAAATAATAATAATAATAATAATAATAATAATAATAATAATAATAATAATAATAATAATAATAATTAATAATAATAATAATAATAATAATAATAATAATATGTTCCTATCCTCATGTAGAAAGCCATTTAGCTTCCGTTTCAATAATCAGAAAAAAAGGAAAACCTTTTTCCTGTCTACTGAATAGAACTGAATAAGAAATACGAGGAAATGTACTTTGCCTCCAGACATTTATACCAGTAACTGTGAAGTCCAAAATACGTGCAACAGATGTCTAAGGATTTCACTACAAACAGCTTTGATTTATTTAACATAAGCCAAGTCTCCAAACCTAAACATCCACACACAGAAACAATTGTGTTGGACAGCTCTTTGTCTGTAAGAGCAGTTTCATTAAAAAAAAAAAAATCCACCAGATCCTGGCATCACTTTAATAGCAGTTATGCATATAAATTGTTGCACTGAGACTATTATTTCTGGTTTATGTGAAACAGATCTATGTATGGAACCTATAATTTTGGAAATAACTACCTCCACAGATGGTGCTGTGACAACAGCTGTCATTGTTGTTAAAGTAACCCCCATATGTGTTTGTGAAACAGTTGAAATGCTGCTCCTGGCAGCTGTTTTATGATCCTGTCAGACACTTTTATCAGGCTTACACTTGATCCTGAACTCATTTCCTTTAAAATAGCTTTAAGAATTTAGTCCCAAGCATACTTCTTGAGCAAACACTGCCATGGGTAAGTAGGAATTGGCACAGCCAGGAACTCCATAGGCCCCTTGTGTATAGAATGAATATGTTCTGTTCAGTGTATTAGACTTCACCCCTCAACAGTTTCTTCTTTGATTCCAATGGAAACAAAGTGTTCTCAAGAAAATCAGAAGCCAACTAGGGAATGAGGAAGACATTTGTTTGGTTTACAATTCAATGTGAACACTTCCAGAAAAATACACAAACCAGAATACAATTATCCTTTGGCATTTCGCTTCTTTCAATGTTGCTGTACAGTACTCCAGATTTTTTTAAAGTCTATCTTGTGGGAAAATATCAAGACATATGAAAGGGAAATGCCTTATGCAAAAGGAATACGTTGGGTTAATATATTCCTGAAAATGCATATTACCTACTCTCCATAGGTTCAGAAAGAAAATGTACTATGAAAATGCACATTTACTGTGTGTAGTCTTTCGCCTCCGTGCTCAAATCACAGATTGATTGACAAGTTTGAAAGTCTGTAGTTAAACAGACAGATTCATCCAACCTTAGCAGATTCCCTTACCCCTCGCACATGAAGAGGACAGGCTTTGTTCAGCGATCAGTTGCACACTCTAGATCGGGGCATAAAGATTCTGATAGCGCATATCCATGCATACTGACTGATATCAGTACAGCAGGAGCTTCAGTTTATAGCTTCTGCATGCTTTAAATTCAATGCAGTAGTGAAGCATTTTGAAACTTGACCTAGATCAAGGCTAAAGAACTTATTCCCTTTCCCCCAACACTGTCTTACTCAAGCTAACTTACTTCATTGGGACAGTATGATAGGAGTTTATCAACATCTGGACAGCCAGAGGTTTAGAAGCTCAGATACAGATTCCCAGCCTCTATAAGAATGTGTGAAATTTGGGATCCTCAGCAGAGACTGTTGTATACCCCACTGCCTCAAGAGGCCAGCTCGATGAGTATGTAGGCCAGGACTTGCTTTATAGCAGATGCTGTGGAACTCCTTCTTATGGTAAGTCATCCGGGCTCCATCCATCGGGGCTGCCAAATCTGTATTATTCTTATGCAATTTGTTTGTAAAACTGACCTTTAAAATTGCTTTTATTGTACTTTTAAATAACTCTTCTAATAAAGAAAGAGATCAAGTTTCTGCAGCTACTGTGGCAAGTTGTTATATGTTGTCAAGTTGCCCTTGACTTATGGTGACCCCCATGAATGAGCAATCATAGAATAATAGCATAATTAAATTGGAAGGGGCCTATAAGGCCACTGAGTCTAACCCTCTGCTGAGTGCAGGAATACAAATCAAAGGGTGTCTGCCAGGTGGTTGTCTAAATTTATCCTGAATGCCTCCAGTGTTGGAGCACTCACCACCTCTCAAGGCAATTGGTTCCATTGCTGCATTGCTCTAACAGTTAGGAAGTTTTTCCTGATATGCAACTGAAATCTGGCTTCCTGTAACTTGAGCTCATTGTTGTGTGTCCTGCACTCTGTGATGATCGATAACAGACCCTGCCACCCTTCCTATGAATGACAGACTCTCAAGTATTTGAAAAGGGCTATGATATCAGCCCTAAATCAAATGGAGATGGGATAGTTTCTATGGTTTCAGATACCATAAAAGCCTATTGCTGGTCAGTCACTATGGAGCAAAACAGCCAGCAATTGCATCCTCGTTAGTTCTAGTCATCACATTTGGAGGCTGGCATGATAACTTTGTTTGAGCCTGTCACCAAACTTTCAGAATGGAATGGATACAGACTTGTTCCCTGGCAATATAAGCAGTGATTTCTGCATACATTGAAGAAGGAAGGGGAAAGAGTTTCTTAGTTCTTCCCATGTTCTTATTTTCTTTTCTGAGGGAAAATGGAGGTGGGGCTGATAGATGTTAGCCTAATCCATAGATAAACAAGGACTGCCATATTCTTCTTTGGCTTCCCCAAGTTTGTGTGAGAGAGGTCTATGAGAGGAGTCTATTGTAGCTGACAACTGATGTGAATGGGTTGAGTGACAAAAGAATGCTGTATGAGTAAGAGGCAAGACTGTTATGGCCATCGGCAAGTACAGAAAAATTCCATTATAGAATCTTATTTTCACAGGCTGTTTTCCCCAGCCCAAAGGGTCAGAGTGTATATAAGAGTGGGTGAGGGAGTGGTGAGGAGAGGGATAGATACAGTTAGTCTTAGATAGTTTTGGATATAGGATGGGAAGTTAGGATTAGGTTTGAGGTATAACCTCTGTTTATATGACAGATGTTTAGAATATTTAGGGCAGATATTATTGTAACTGTATGCTATTTAAAAAAGGCATCTTTTCAAAGGTTTTTGTTTTAAAAGACTGGCAGCATTACCTGAAGGTTCACCTTTCAACAAATGTCTTTAATAAATGCATTTCTCAGAGTGAGCTGGAAATAGCTTCACAAAAGCATAGTAATTTAGTGGTCACTCCTGTTGTCACAACAGAATAGCAGGATTGCCAGATTACATCCTAAGACTGGGAGTAGGGTAGAAGAAGGGCCCCAGGTGTCCAAAGTATACAGAGACAAGGGTGTCAAAGAGGACACTGGGTGTCTGATTGAATAATTAGGGGGCTGAATCTGAAGAGATTCTAGTAGTCTTGCCCAGACAGGAGAGCCTTGGGGTTGCCACAGTCAGCAAGGGAAACAGGAATTTTAGGTATGTGGATTGTTTCATCATTTACTATTATTAGTTTTGTCTGTCATGTAACATCTGACCTATAGTGACCTAACAGGATTTTCAAGGTACTATAAGTAAGATGTTTAAGGAGTGGTTTTGCCATATGAGTTCCCAAGGCCAAGAGAGAATTGAAACCAGAACTCCTGACTCAGCATAGTTTGCCACTCTGTCCAATATACCACTCTTTCTTCATTGTCTCTTTTGCTTATACAGAAATGCTGCAAGTATTAGAAGGAAGTAGCTTGTGTTTTGTTAATAGAAATTTTTTTTACCACAGTCTGTTTCATCAGAATTATCATTACAGTGTTGTGTTTGGTCACAAAGGTAAACCACTGGTATGCATTCTCCACTTCCACACTGATAAAAACTTGGTGCACAGGGATCTGTGGAATGAGAGAAAAGCAACATATAGGTCATAATGGACTAATATATTTTAATTATTATTCTGGATTATTAATCCTATTATCCCATCTATACAAATCAATTATTCCTAATTTGATTTTTATAACATAACAGAGAAATTTTATAATAATCCCTGGTTATCTGCTACCGTCCCATCTGTAAAGTCATTCATACTGTTTGATAGGACTGCAAGTAATTTCATCTGATAAGGACTTGGGAATTTTAAGCTGTTCTATAGTTAATGGTGCACTCATATGAAAATATACTAGGTTACTGAAGGTCAAAAGCACATTAGCTAGCTCTAGTATTATTAAGGTTCCCACATCTCAAAGTCACAAGGGTTTCTGTGGTCTCCAGGTAGAGAGAGACAAGATCTCTGAGTGTGTGTTGCTAGAAGAGGAGAAGGTTTTATATTTATATGTGTGGTGTCTTTAAAGGCTGTGGACCCTTGTTCATCCACACCAAGCTAGTGCATAGGGCTCATTGGCTTAGCAAAAAGATGTCTATGGCTTGCTTGCTTCCTTTCTCATCCTTGTCTGTCCTGCCTCTGTGATGTCACAAGGACCACCTCTGTAATATCAGAAGGACCCTCTCCTGTGCCATCATAAGCACCCACTCCCTGGTTTCAAATGTGCCACTGAAATCTCAGAAATGGAATTCTGTCAAGCTGGCAACAGCTGGCAAGTAGTCTAAAAGTTACTTCTGTGTGGCTGAAATCTAGTAGTGTAACTCATGCCACATAATGTTGATGATGTCATCAGTGATAGGTATTTTTGGAAATTAACAATTTCTAATCCCCACTCCCAGGTTTTCTTGGGATCCCTTTAATAATGGGAAACCATTAGGAGTTATGAGATGGGCAGAAGTTGTTGATTTCTGAAAATTGCTGCCATCAGGTTGATTTTACCAGAAATGGTGATTTTCAGAAAAGCTTCTCCTCCAAAAGGCCCTGCAGACCCCAACCACTTGTCCACAATGAAAGAGATGTTTTGGATGTGGGAAATGTTTTATTTATGAAAAAATACTATGTCTAATGACATCATGAGCAGTACTCAGATGCAGTGGCAAGAGTTTCAGGAGGAAAGCAACAGGAGGGTGAAGTGTTTTCTGCCACTTCTCTGAGACAAAGACCCCCCCTCCCCCCTTTTAAGGCTGCCATGGTGCACATTACTGGCTGTTGCACCAATTCAACAGGTTTATTGAAAATGAGAGTGAAATGTGTAGTTGATCGGAAGACAGACTTCAAAATAATCCTTCTTCATTGTTTCACTTGAAAATGTTAGTTCATTCACAACTCACCTGGCATGCCCAAATGGTAGCCTGTTGTAAAATTAGCTATAAATCCTGACTTCACTCCACTTTTGTCAGTAATGAAGAACACTGTGATCTGGTGAGTTGCAGAGAATACATCCGGCACTGGGGAATTTCCTGTATATACAGCTATACACCAGGGCAGGGGGTGGGAATGAGATATATTTTAGATCTATGACCATTGATCTCTCCTTAAAATTTCAGTGTTATTAACATATCAAAATCAGGAAAAGAGTATGTGACCAAGAAAAGTTATATTTCAATTCTTCACTGTGCCTCCTTAACAGGGGCTGAACTCAATGCTCCGTAGGGCCTTCCAGCTCTGCAGTTCTGATGATGATGATGATATTATTTCCTATTCTTCACAGGTAGAAGAGGTGGGCAAAGTTCTAGGAGCTACTTTTGCACCTGAGATCAGAGATGGTTGTACTCAGCCCTTATTACAAGATCCTGAAAAATAAAACCCAGCTCTCCAAAATCCAACCCTCAGAAAATTTGCATGGATGCATGGATACAAATTGCTCTCTCTCTCTCTCTCTCTCTCTCTCTCTCTCTCTCTCTCTCCACACACACACACACACACACAGAGAGAGAGAGAGAGAGAGAGAGAGAGAGAGAGAGAGATTTGAGCCTAAAGCAGGGCAGGGTGTCCAGAGATATCTGGACATTTAATTAATTTTTTCCTCCTATTTTGGGACCTATTTGCAGAAGAGGCATGAAGGGTTGGGGCACTTTTGCTTTAAATCTAGTGCTCTTGATTTAGCAATCTATGAAAAGAATAGAAGAATTCATTAAATATTCTGATAAAAGCTAAATCTTTAATATGTCCCATCTATAGATGGTGCTGAAGATTGCCCCAATTGAAATTAACACAGTTTGCATCTGAAGAAATTTACTTGCAGTGGAATCAGGACTTACAGTGCTTCCACGAAACGTTTCACTTCATGTAGCCTTTCCTCTAAATGACTGATTGACCAAGGGGATGTTTTTGAGAAGGATCATTTTATTCTGTTGCTTTTACTTGTGTTTTACATATTGCTCTTATTTATAAGTTTTTATATATTATATCTGTTTAATAAATATTGTAATAATTTATTATTTACCTGTTGACTTTGTTTCCTTTAATAGAAAAGTGGCATATATATACATACATACATACATACATACATTCAACTTGAAAGTCAGGGTTTAGCAAACTGAGTTCATTGTAGGGATTCATGATGTATGTGCAGCAGTGCTTCCACATCCCACCACAATTGAACATAATGATGTTACAACAGTGTCTTGACACTTCGGAGGACTATGCACATACCTGGACACTTCAGCTCTACTGTGACATCAGTGACATTCTATGGCCAAAAATGGTCTTCCCAAAATAATTTTGTCCATTTTTGCCTTACCCTTTTCTATCATGGAATTCAAAGCAGTACACATATGATTATCAGGTATCTCCCATTTAGCCACTGACCTGATCTCTTACTTTCAGCTGGTAGCTCAGATTCTACATTCTATGTACTTTGGCCTTTAGATCAATTTAAATTGAAGAAAATCAGCATGCAAAGTTTAAGGAAATCTGTTGAAGTGTACACAAAAATATTTCCAGTATGGAACCTGCCTATCTATAGTTTGACTAATAGTGCTGCTACTGAAAACACAGTGTTTGAAATAGATGGCTACATATGGAAAAGGTAAGACAGTTGTGTGATATACATTTTAGCAAATGAAATGGTGCACATAGTATTTTAATGATGTTTAATTTATTGTATCAATTGGTAGATTATACTTGCCCAGAAATAAAGAATCATCTCCTCTACCATCTCTGATTTCTACGACATCGTAAATATTTTCCAGATCAAAATACTGGAAATGCAGCTGAATGTTTTTCCCTTCCTCTGCATTTAAATACCATATACCTGGAAAACAAAGACAAAGCAAAATAGTCCCTTCATTTTACAAAGAAGATACTTTGAATAAAGCGACTGTAATAATTAAGAGCATTCTCTTCTAATTAGAAAATGAATAAAGTCATCAACTACATTGTATGCATCTCCATACTCCCTTGCACACTAATTCACATCCTGATGTTTTATTCTTCTGCCTAGGCATTTTTCAGCACAAATGTTTCCCGCAACAACTTCCTTAGCAAGATTTGATAGTGTCTATGTAGTGTGCACAGACACAATCTCAACTGTGTTTGGAAAGGTATACTTTTAGGGCTAACTATATGTGGATTCCAAATCCAGCAGACAGTTATATGGTATACCACACCAAATGGAGATAATGCTCCCTTGGCATGATTATGGAGGCAATGTATAGCATTCTAGGGTCCTGGAAGAGTCACAATATAATCCACACCTAGGACACAATGCAAGATCACTAAGGACCAGTTGAGATAACACTAGTGCAATAGAAACTGTACTGAGTTCAAACTACACCGAATTGGGATGGTTGGAAATTACTCTGTTTTGTACTTTTTATTATACAGAAATTATGTGTTTATTGTTCAGTGTTCAATATATAAACTTTCCCCCCCAGAAACATCATGGAAGGTGCAGCCCTACAATATTATATTTCAATTGAGCTCTCTATGATTGCAGTCTCCAATTTTCAGTTTTAGTCATTATGGCTCATTCTGTGGCTTTAGAATATCTGGCCAGGAGGATTTCTGAACTTTTCTGTTTCTTTCTCCTGGCCCACCTTCCCCAGTTTTCAAGCATTCTGTTGCAAAATACTAAATAACAATAACAATAATAACAAACAACAACAATAACAATTATTTAGAAATATACATAGTACTACACAGACACACGAATAATTAAACAAAGCACAATATTGCCACAAATATATTCAAAAGCAAAAACCACTCTCACACAAATGTAACTCTAAAACCTCACCTTACCAGTGTTATTACTTAAATTCTAATATCAAAGTTCATTTCACCAACATTAACCCTGCCAAATATCCAGGCATGTTACCGGCAGTTTCACCCTTGGGTTGGCACTCCTGTCTACAAATCTTGACCTACATTTGAGTGGCAGAGTGGCTCAAATGTAAATTTCTCTTGGTTGCAGAAATTTAGGATCTGTTATATCTAGCTCCTATCTCACTTTCTCCCTCTCTGCTGTGTTCTGCTGGTAGTCCTTAGCTAGTGGAGCAGTCCTGTTGGAAGATCCTTCTACTGGCAGATCCCTGAGATTAGCCAGAAGAAGAGGCTTCTCTTGGCACAAGTTCATTTTTGCTGGCAGAACAGGATTTCTTCTGGCAGATCAGCTTCCAGCATATTCCAAAATCAGAATATCTGGAACATCTTTAGGATTACACTTTACAAGCATTGGACAGGCCATCCTTTCAATTTAAGAAATTCTTAAGTTTTAAAGCCATGCTGTTACTTACAAGAAGCTTGGCTGGGGTAGTTGTTGGGATAATTGATTGAGCTAAAGGTAGTGTTTGGTTCCCATAGGTCAAATGGCCCACCACAATCAGCTGAAAGAGAAAAAGTAGTTCATAGATGTCAAGTCCTTTATCTTTGCATTAGAAAATGTCAGAGTATTTAAATGACTTGGAGTAAAAATTTGGAAACATGCCGCAACTTTGATTCACCATTATGCCATAAGACACTTTGAATATGTCCTTATCTTAATTGTTTATATTATATTGGAAGCCGCTCAGAATGGTCGCATAGACCAGATGGGCGGGATACAAATCAAATCAAATCAAATCAAAAAATCAATCAATCAATCAATCATCCAACCAACCAATCAATCAATCTTTCTCTTAGAAGCATATTTGCTGCTTATTTCTGCCAAATATGTGGAAAGTGCATTACTGTGCCACAGTTCCTGTCAGGTGCACATACTCAAATGATCTGGACATCCTAATCTCATCTGAAATTTCCCTGCATTGACAAATGACATGAGAATGTTGCTTCAAAAACATAGGGCCCCAAAGACTAGCTTTTTAAAGAATACTTGTAATTCCAGTTTTTTTCTAAGAGACTCGGCCACTGAACCTATGAGTTGTTGAAGAAGGTCTCACACAAAGTTGCGCTGAATTGTGAAACGGTAGTGCTTTGAGAGGGAGTCACATTTGAATGTATTATTCTAGATCCTGTGGAAGACAACTGGCAGTTGTGCATTTTCTTTAAACTATTGTGCACAAGGTAGAATAAGCCTTCATACAATGCAAATCGTGAGCTATTGCACTGACTGGGTGCAATATATTATTCTAGAAGGAACATATAGCTGGATTTCAGATCTCTTGTTTCATGCAATGATACTGCCATACATCAGAACAATTCCTTATACTTGTGGAAAAGAGGCTTAACACACAAATATACCAAAGGAAAATACACATGTGATGCCCTGTGTGCATCAAAGCACATATACAGTGTCTTTTGAAAGGATAACTAATGGAAGTCTTTGTTCTGTGGAGATTTACTCGAATTATTGTTCATCTCCCTGTCCCAAGATTTTTTGCCAGAGAGCCCCAACTCACTTCTGTTTTGTGTTCCCATATAACTACCAAAAGACCATTTCATCTGCGAAGATTAGCTGGCAAGTTTAGCAAGCCTGGATACAAATGGATTTGTGGTTCCCACTGACATTTTCTTGTGAAACGAGAGGGACATTTTTGTCCTCTATAAGGTAGCATGCAAAGTCTTTGAATTGCTAAAGCTTACTTTTCCTCAACTGACTTCCTAAATTTAGAGATTTCTATCACCAAAGCACTTGTCTATTGAGATAGCTAAATTGTCTTGTATTATCTCAGTCTGTTTCCATTTAATACAGTACTACATTTCTTCTCAAGTGAAGAACACACACATCTTTCATCAAGAAAGAAAAGAAAATTGTTTTTCCTTTGTTCATTCAGAAAACAGCCTTTCGTGACTACATAATGTTTTTGATTCTAGAACTGTAAATGATTTCACATTTTGGTAAATGTGCAAGCTTCTGAACAAGCTGTAATGAACATACAACTTCTTGTCTTCAAGCAGAAGAGAGCGAAAGTGGCGACAAATCTGTCCTAATATAGAGATAACCTCCCTGCCTCATACCAGTTATTAAGGCTGCAGAAGGTGTTATTCCAAAGAATGAAAAACTGTGACAGATATCTGTAGATGTGTGAGCCAAAGAGGCCACTAATCTCCAGTGGCCTGTTTGACTATATAAGATGTCTTGTGAGGATATAAGGAGTCCGTATACAAACTTTAAAAGGAAGCATCAATATTATATAAATAAAAAAATGAAGACTGGCAAAATATTGCCTAAACAGTTAACAATTTATATAAAAAGACATGTGGGGACTGTGAACACATTTGGGCATCCCTTGGGCAATGACAGTACCCTTTGGGCTGGTCTTTTCACTCCAAATGACCGCTAGATTGTTTCTGAGATGAACGATAAAGAACAGCCATGTGAAGAAAAAGAGAAAAAAGTGGGCAACGAAAGACAATGGAAGAGAGCCAATGGCTGAAATCACGTCTGTGTAAGTTCTGGGGCATAAGACTGATAACATCATCAGCCAGAGCATTTTTTTTTAAATTAAACATTAATTCCTCCTGTCACAAATTCCTTATAAGTCCCAATGAATCCTTTTTTTATTGAAAGGAAGCTGTGGGGACTGAGGGAAGCCAGAACGAGTACTTAATTACTGAAAACTTTACTAGCTGTGGCAATTTTCAGTAATTAAAGACTTCCTCCTCTGGTTCATCAGCCCCCACAGCTTCCTTACAATGAAAAGGATTACTTGGGACCTATCGGGGCCTTGGAACGGGAGAAAAAGATGTTACCTGATGACATCATCAGCCTTACACGATGGAACTTACACAAACAGGATTTCAGCCATTGAGTTAAAATCTCAGCAAATTATGGAAATCTTGTGTAAATAGATATAGGTACTTTCTGTAGAATGGAAAGGATTGAATCAACTAATTACATAACTGCTTTGGTTTATTTATAAACCTAAATGCTTATAATTAGCACTTCACGATTCAATAGTGTGGAAAGAGATACACTTAACCATACTCCTTGTAGGGTACAGATAGAATTTAGGAACCTCAAAATTGAACTATATTTCTCAAGAGCATTTTATGGCCTCAAAGAACAATTTGAAGAAGAAAATGAATATCATGGAGATTAATACGCTTGGCAAAATTATTAGCTGCCCTAATATCCATATACTAAGTAGAACAACCATTTTTAAATAATGAATAGCTAAGGTTTGGAATAATTTGAAGTGTAATTTTACACTGAACAGCTCACTAGGCAAAGTGTCTTTTATTCTTGATCTAACAAGATTTATTATCGCCTGTCAAAGTACAGATGCCTTGAACGAAACACTTACAGGGCCTGCCATTACAATTATACTGATACCATTAAATCTAATGATAATATGAACTGTTCACATGGGAAAGATTTTCTGTTATAATGCATCCTTGTTAATACTCTTTTATTGAACATAGCTGTCATCACTGTAGCACATGTGTATAATGGGGAGAAGCTGGGAGTTTTAGCAATGTAGATTTTTAAAAAATCTAACCCTGGAGTGTCTGCACCAATAATTTTCAAAAGAAAAGTCACAAGGTTGTAGGAGAAATCTTGAGGATGTAAGAAGGAAATTCCATCAAGTATCTTCCATTGTATTTCAGGGAATGAAGTGTATGAAGGTACCTCCAAATATCTGGCTACATAGGACAATCACACACAGGCTAAAATTATGTTGCTTTACCTTACACAAAATAAAGCTGATGACATTGTCAGCCATAGCAAATTTGTGGGAAATTAATAATTTCCAATTGCTTCCTACTGGAAGGTCCTGAGTTTCTCTTGGGATCCCTTTTGTTCTGGGAAGGCCACTGGGAGCCATGGGACAGGTGGAAGTATTTAATTTCCAAAAATTGCAACTATTGGTAGAAAGAGGTGGCAATTTTCAGAAATTAAAGACTTGCATACCATCCCACAGCCCCAAACGGTTTTCCATGATAAAAGGGATTCCAAGGGGACCTTGGGACATCAGATAGGGAACAGAAAAATTTAAGTTCCAAAAAATTCACCATGGCTGACAATGTCCTCAACTATACGCAGTGTAAATTATGATGATACAGTATGTGATACAGTAACATATATAAAAGGTATCTTCCATAAATTTCCTGAGCATTTTTTAAGATATTGCATCTCTTTGCATGTTGCATGAAAGTCTTACATAACTATGAGAGTATTGCATCATAATAGGATAACAACAAGCCCCTCTGTACATTCTCTGTTGAACATATATTGAAAATAATTTGTTAAAATTATTTAATATTCTCTTATTTCATTATTATTATTTAAAATATCTTATTGCTGGTTTATGCTTATGTAAGGGAAATCTCACAAATTTTGGAAGCAAACTGCCACTCATCAACAATGTGCTGAATTTGCACCTGAGCATAAAATTGACTGTACATTTTATACTGTATCCAGTAACTGATTGTACCACTTTAATAAGAAACAATTTGCTGCCAAGATTCAACAGTTTCTCTTATGCAAGCATAAATAGGCAATGATTTTTAGAAACTACCATTTAAACTGTTTGACAGGAACAATGTGTGTGAGTGATGGATACTGTTTTGTATTACTTGATACCATGTAGCTCGTAAGGAGCAGACATTTGGATTAATTTTTTATTTTTTATAAAATAAGATTCATGTTAATAATTATTAATGTAGGGTTTTCATTATATATTTTTTCTTGGGTAGTGAATTTAGTTTAGCATTCACATATTAGCATATTAAATGTGACTAATACCATAGGTCCATCTAGCCCATGATGGTCGACACTGACTCACAATGGATTTCCATAAATGCAAGTAGAATTCCTTCCAAGGTTCAAATGGTGGTGGATTGAAACTTGGAATTTCTGCATTCAAAGTATATGCCTTGCTACTGAGCTATGATTTCTGCACTGAGTAATGATTGGAACCATTGGGACCACATGCCGGGCCCAATATTCTAGCCACCTTTGAAAGTCTACAGGATTGAACTGTGTACCACAAGCCAATGGGGACTTATTTCCCAGTTGATGTCTACCTTCAAATATGGGTTCCCAAATCTGCCTTGTCCAGCTTGCATTAGGACAAATGGTATCAAATGGAACATATGTATGTGAGGCAGCCACAAAATTGTCACAAAAGAATGTCTTGTTTTTATCAAAGTTAGAGAAATGAATCAAGGGCCTATGAATCATTAGACCTCAATTTACTGTCAGAAATGTTCCTCTATGAACTGTCAGACACTGCAGTAAAAATGGTGCTGTTTCCCCTTTTCAGCAATGGGCATTCTATACGGTTTTCTAGCTGACTAAATTGCCATGTCAAAAGATATAGAAAAACGCATAAGAGAAAGAAATGGCATGCCATGTGACATCAATTTGGTGAAAAGATTAATGGAATTAGAATGAAAGTTTCAGTGAACATTCTTGATAAATATCAGTGGCTTTTACTATGCT